TGAGACTTGCGTTCTCTGATATTGATTCAACGTTCTTGGTGGCGTGAAGCACTCATGTACTTTTACCAGTACAAGATGGTATTAAAATACAGGTAGATAATTCGTCAATCAACTTTTTGTCCGAAGTCACAGAGACAGATTGATTACCTTGTACTCTTCTTCAGTTAGGGTCGTGGAGCCAGTTCCAGAAGGGTTGAAGCTCTGAACGGGTCTATCGGATACTATTCCTACTTTGTATTCTATGGCGTAATCCTCTAGATCATCAATAGGTGTTGTCGGTTTTCCAGCTGGAAATTTTGGAGGCGGATACTGCATGCTGTATTTGGACGGGGCGGGTCATTACGTCTGCGCACGTGGTCTGACACGGGTTCGTACTTTACATTCTTTTTTTAAATTTTCTTTCATATCCATACTCCTTATTACCCTCATTAACCTATGGGGGAAAAAAAATGAACGCACATCATTTATTATTATTATTATCATTATTTTTTTTTCTTCGTTTTATTTCATTGGATGATTTCGAAAAAAAAGTCAATTAATGACGTCACGTTTACGTCTTTTCTCGATGGCGCGTACGTAAAGTTATGTACGATAATCGAATTTCGTTTTTATTTTTTAAATAATTATAATTGAATGAATGAAATGAAATATAATAATAGTAATAATGATAATGATAATGATAATAATTAATAATAATAATAATAATAATAATGATAATAAATAATAATAATGAATAAAAATGAATAAAAATATAAAATATTAAACGTTCAATTAATATTGTTGCCTAAATAATATAATTATATATATATGTATGTAAATAATAATGATAATGATAATAATAATAATATTCGCAGGCTGTGCGTTTATTTTTATTAATAATAATAATAATAATAATTTTTTATGTATACATATTTTTTTTTTTTTTTTAAATTTACATTTTTAATCTTTTTTTTTTATCATTACCATTATTATTATTATTATTATTATTCGTTTTTGTAATTACTTATTTATTAATCGCAGTGAATGAATGAATGAATGAATCCGTAGAAATCGATTACCGTACTAAAAAGCACAAAAAAAAAAAAAAAATTTCCCCCCTCGTTACAATACTATCGTTTCGCGTATAAATAAGTACTATTATTATTATTATCATTATTATTATAACTATTATTATTATGTATATTATATTCGTGGTAAAAACTTTTAATTGTTTTACGCGTGATTTTGTAAATATTTCATGTACACATTTACATTTGTCATTTTTATTCATTGCATTATTTTATTTTGTAAAAAAGAAAATTTCAATGTTGCCAACTGAAACTATTCAATGGGTTTATCATGTATTACTTATACTCAATATTATACACGCACGCACACACATATACATATATGCGTGTGGGTGCGTGTGTATATACGTACGTGTCTATTTGGCAACAGTGTAAATAAATAATATAATTATGTAATTATTTACAAAAAATTTTCTTTTTTATAATTTTCCTATTGTAATTAATTGTTTTTTATACAGTCGACGGGAATGGTGGGGGTAGTGGTGGTGGTGCAGTCCTGCAATCCAACTACTCGGAGGCTGGGTATGGAGAAGATTTTTGGGGACGGAGATTCCGGAGGAAATTTTCAGAGTCCAGTCGTAAAGAAACGTCCGGGAATTTTATTTGGATGGTTAGAACTTCAAAAAAATGTCATCTGTCACCAACCGCACCGGGTAGGGAGGAGGTCAGCTTGAAATGCATTTCTTTTCAAGGGGAGTCATCTAGAAAAAGGAGACAAAAAAAATATTAAACAGGTATGTACATTTAATTCACTTATATTCATGTTTTTTTTTTTTTACATCGTTCTTGAGTTTTTTTTTGTACTAAACAGAACATTAATTATCGTCGTTTTTGTTTTGCCCGTAGGTAAATCATCTGACACACAAGAAGAAAAAAATGAGTCTTCAATTTGAGTAATCGTTTATTAAATAAAAGTTCATCAACAACGAATAAATATCAGTCACAGGAGGTCGATATAGCAAAATTATTTTGATTCCGTGTTTCACTTCTTCGTTCGTCAGTGCAAGATAAATGAAACAGGAAAAGGATAAAGAAGAGAAGAAAAGAAGAGAAAAAAAGAGAAGAAGAAAAGAAGAGAAGGGAAGAAGAGAAGAAGAGAAGAGAAGAAAAGAAAAGAAAAGAAGAGTAAAAGAGAAGAGAAGAGACGGGAAGAGAAGAGAAGAAAAGAAAAGAAAAGAAGAGAAGAAAAGAAGAGAAAAGAAGAGAAGAGAAGAAAAGAAAAGAAGAAAAGAAAAGAAGAGAAAAGAAGAGAAGAAAAGAAAAGAAGAGAAGAAAAGAGAAGAAAAGAAGAAAAGAAAAGAAGAAAAGAAAAGAAGAGAAGAAAAGAGAAGAAAAGAAGAGAAGAAAAGAAGAGAAGAGAGAAGAGGGAAGAGGAAGAAAAGAGAAGAGAAGAGAAGGGAAGAGAGAAGAGGGAAGAGGAAGAAAAGAGAAGAGAAGAGAAGGGAAGAGGAGAAGCGAAGAGAAGAAAGAAGAGAAGCGAAGAGGAGAAGAGAAGAGGGAAGAGAAGAGGAAGAGAGAAGAGAAGAGAAGTGAAGAGGAGAAGAGAAGAGGAAGAGAAGAGGGAAGAGAAGAGGAGAAGAGAAGAGGGAAGAGGAAGAGAGAAGAGAAGAGGAAGAGAAGAGAAGAGAAGAGGAGAAGGGAAGAGAAGAACAGAAGAGGGAAGAGAAGAGAAGAGAAGAGAAGGGAAGAGTGAAGTGAAGAGGAGAAGAGAAGAGAAGAGGGAAGTGAAGAGAAGAGGAGAGAAGAGTGAAGTGTAGAGAAGAGGAGAGAAGAGTGAAGTGAAGAGAAGAGGGAAGAGAGAAGAGAAGAGAAGAGAAGAGAAGAGGAGAGAAGAGTGAAGTGTAGAGAAGAGGAGAGAAGAGTGAAGTGAAGAGAAGAGGGAAGAGAGAAGAGAAGAGAAGAGGAGAAGGGAAGGGAAGAGAGAAGAGAAGAGGAGAAGGGAAGAGAGAAGAGAAGAGGAGAAGGGAAGAGAGAAGAGAAGAGGGAAGAGAAGAGAAGGGAAGGGAAGAGTGAAGTGAAGAGGAGAGGAGAGAAGAGTGAAGTGTAGAGAAGAGGAGAGAAGAGTGAAGTGAAGAGAAGAGGGAAGAGAGAAGAGAAGAGAAGAGGAGAAGGGAAGAGAGAAGAGAAGAGGAGAAGGGAAGAGAGAAGAGAAGAGGAGAAGAGAAGAGGGAAGAGAAGAGAGAAGAGAAGGGAAGGGAAGAGGAGAGAAGAGGAAGAGAGAAGAGAAGAGGAGAGGAGGAGAGGAGAGAAGAGTGAAGTGTAGAGAAGAGGAGAGATGAGAGAAGTGAAGAGAAGAGGAGAGAAGAGTGAAGTGTAGAGGAGAGGAGAGTGAAGTGAAGAGAAGAGGAGAGGGAAGAGAAGAGAACAGAAGAGTAGAGAGGAGAAGAAGACGTTTGTTGCAGGCATCCATCCTAATTCGGAATGACTCGCATTTTCCACCGTTTCCACGTGATGATTACGTCATAATAATCTTCATTTTCCCTGTAGGTTGTAGAGATGCCTGTACAATCCCTTTTTCGACATCAATTCCGAATGTGTCCCGATTTCCATATCTCTTCCACGGTTGATAACGACAATGACGTCAGCATCTTGAACTGTTGATAATCGGTGAGCTATTACGATGCACGTGCGTCCAAAGCTCGCTTTGTCTAAGGCCTCCTGAACTACTTTTTCACTTTGACTATCCAGAGCCGACGTCGCTTCATCCAACAAGAGAACTTTTGGCTTTCTAATTAACGCTCGTGCGATTGCTATCCTTTGTTTTTGACCTCCTGACAATTGAGTTCCTTTCTCCCCGAGACTTGTATCGTATCCCTGAAACAAATGTTATCACTCATCAATTGTACTCTCGTTTAAAGTTTCATTTAAAACGGAAAAATCATTTTTATTATTATTATTTTTTTACCAATGGAAGATTTGAAATAAAATCGTGAATATTAGCTTGTTTTGCGGCTTCGATGATTTCATCCATTTCAACTTTCCTATCGTTATCACCATAAGCGATATTTTCTGAAATCGTTCTGTCGAATAAAACGGGTTCCTGTGAAACTATTCCCAATTGTTTTCTCAACGCAGATAGTTTCAATGTCTTTATCTCTTCGGAATCTAAAAACTTTAAAAAAAATACAATCGAAAGTGTTGTTGTTCATTTCTCTCGAGAGAAATGTGTCACCGCGGTGACATTTGAACTCACCACTTCTCCCTCGTCCGGATCGTATAATCTTTCCAATAATTGTATCAAAGTTGATTTTCCACATCCGCTTTGCCCTACCAAAGCCACTTTTTTCCCTTTGAGTACTTGTAAATTTAAATTTTTTAATATTTGAGCATCCGGTCTAGACGGGTATCTAAAGCTGACGTTATCGTATTTGACTTCTCCTTGAGCTTCCTAAAAATTTAAATTTAATCCAACATTCAAAATTGACGAATGTTTTACGAATACAATTTAATTGAAAAATTAATATTCTCTTACCCATTCCGAATCAACTCGAGTAACGTCTGGACTTTTTATTTTCGGTTCCCTTCTTAAAAATAAAAACAAATTCGTGGCCGAAGTTAAACCTTTTTGAAAATTGGGGGCAAAAGCAAACGCGTTAGCCAATGAAAAACTTGCCATTATCATTGTTTGAGTTACTCTGAAACGTTTCGAAAATTTTTCATTTGTATGAATTTGGTTTTCCTTCCCCCCCTCCTCCCCCCTCCCCCAATTTCCAATTCATTTTTAGAAATTATTAAAAAAAAAAAAAAAAATATTTACTTGAATACATCTTGATAATGTACGGATTCGTAGGCAATTAATCTTCCGCCGTAAAACATGCAAGCGGCATATGCGAAAAACATGAGAGATCTCGAAACTCCCATAATTAGGCCTTTTATTTGTGAATTGCGCGTCATTATTTTATTCGATGGCAACAATTCGTTTTCGTATTCTTTATAAAATGAATTTTCACGTCCCAAACTGGCAACGGTACGAATATTTCCAACAGCTTCGATAGCAATCTGGAAAAAAAAACATGTATGAAATCAATAAATGATTGATTGATTATTACTATTATTAAAAGCTTTGATGTTTACCGCTGTTGATTTTTCTAATATTTTTTGATTTCCTTTGGCATCGCCTTTCAATACTCTCGCCATGAAATAACTTCCGGCGAATAAAAACGGTGCAAAGGCTAACGTTGTGAAACCTAATTTCCATTGAAAATACATTGCAAAACTTAAAGCCAAACTTATTGTTGCAATTCCTTGAACAACGGAACCGATGGGTTGACCAGTCGCCTATTTTTTTTTCATAATAATTATTATTTTTTTTTTTTATATATAAGAATTAAGAAGAAGGTACGAAAAACCTACGCCTTGAACGTTACTCGTATCACCGGATAATCTCGAACACAAAGCTCCAACGGAATTCGATTTGTCGTCGAACCAAGACATTTCCTGTTTGAGCATAGCTGAAAACGTCATATATCTCAATCTCATGGTAAGTATTTCTCCAGCCGTTCCGTAAGCCCAAATTTGTATAAAAGTTCCCAGACCCATTAAAACTCCGATACCGACAAAATACAAACAATAACTGACCGTTTCCGATAGAGCTTGATCTTTATCCGGAATGGAAAAAACCTAAAAAAAAAAATTTTTTTTTTAATTATTAAATTTCCTTTTTGTAAAAACTTATTGTTATTAAATTTTTACGAGTTGAACACTTACTCCCATGATATTACCGAAAACGATGGAAAAAAATGGAGAACAAAATCCTATCGCCATGCTGCTCAACGTTGCGATGGTTATTATTTTCCATTCTGGAGCGTTTAATTTTATTATTTCGAACAAAGTTATCTTTTCTTTTGGTTTATCCGTTTCCGTAACAAGAACCTTTAACACAAAACAGGTTTTAATTGCGATTAGTATAAAGAAAAGGTTAAAAATCGTTTGTTAACTCAACGTGATAAGAGCAGCACATTTTACACGTACATCCGTTTTAGAAGGTACCGTAGAGTCTTTACGATCGAATGCATCATAAATATCTTTTGAATCTTCTTCAATTTCTTCTTTTTCATTTTTATCATTTTCGTTAAAGGCTTGTCTTTGTGCAGTGACTAAATCAAAATAGTGACCTTTTTTTTCTATCAAACTATCGTGCGTTCCTTCTTCAACAATTGTCCCCTTTGACATTACTATTATTTTATCAGCTTGGCGAATGGTAGACAGTCTATGAGCAACGATGATCGTAGTTCTACCTTTGGCTGCCTATAATTTAATATTTACTTATATTAGGCTAAGTATTAACTTTATTACTTCATCGAATTGGAAATAAAAATGAATAATAATAACTTTTTCTAAAGCTGCTTGCACTTTAGCTTCACTTGCATTATCCAAAGCGGACGTTGCTTCGTCCAAAAGTAAAATGCAGGGATTTCGTACTAATGCTCGAGCTATGGCAATCCTTTGCTTTTGTCCCCCCGACATTTGAGCTCCTCTATCTCCCACAATAGTATCGTAACCCTAAAATATATTACTTGCTATATCAAGTGTGATTAACAAATACTAGTAAAAAATTACGATGTAAATAACCTGAGGCAATTTAGATATGAAATTATGAGCGTTAGCCATTTTAGCCGATGCTATTATATCATCCATGGTGGCATTTTCATTGGAATACCGAATGTTTTCTTTAATTGAAGTTGCAAATAATACGGGCTCTTGTCCGACGACTCCAATATGTTGTCTCAAATATTTAACATTTAAATTTTTCACTTCCTCTTCGTCCACCAACACCTGTAAGTAATTTTTTTTTTTTTTTTTGACCGTTAAGTAAATGTATAACCTCTAATAAAAACAGCTTAAAAAAATAAATATACAAACCGATCCACTAGAAGGATCGTAGAAGCGTTGAATGAGTTGAAGACAAGTAGATTTTCCACATCCAGAACTTCCCACCAAAGCCACCGTTTCTCCGTTGTTTATTTTCAAAGAAATCCCGTTCAAAACAGGAACGTTCGGTCGTGACGGAAATGAAAATTTGACGTCTTTAAATTCAATATTTCCTTTCATTTTATCCGGTTTAAGACCTTCGTTAGAATTAGGATTTATCGATGATATTCGATCGATCACCCAAAAAACTTTAGCCCCTGTAATAGTAATGTCGCGTTGTCAGCATGACATGATTGCATTGATTTATCTAGCAGGTAGTAATCAGAATACTGAATATAACCTGCAGCTTTTGCCGATGCAAAAACTTCAATGTATGGTGTTGTTATTCCAAAATTCATCGAACCGACCATAACGCTAAAGAATACCTAAACAAATTGAAAAATTTGCAAATAAGCAATAATACGTTGAAACCCCCCCCTCCCAAAAAAAAAAAAAACAATAAAAGTTATTAATTCTCACAGTTGTCATTTGTCCAGGACTGTATTTTCCATCGAAAACAAATGAAACTCCAAACCAGAAAGCAAAACCATAAGTTGCATAAATTAAAAACCACAAAGCTCCAAAACTGATTCCATTAAAAAATTTCCTTTTAACATTATTCTGTTTTGCTTCTAAAAGATATTTTTCGTACCTGTATTTATAAAGCAAATTAAAAAATAAATTTTTGTTTTGGTTTTTTTTTTTTTCAGGTAAATAATGATTTTAAATGAAAAAATTTTAAAGTACCTCAATGATTCTTTATTCGAACCGTCAAAAGCCACGACCGTTCTTATCGAAGATAAAACTTCTTCTGCAATAGAACCTGCTTTGGCATAAGCTTCAAGTTCGTTTTTTGATAACCTTGAAGAAATAAATCCGATGACTCCAATTGTAATCGATATAACAGGAAGTGATGATAAACTAATGAGTGCAAGTTCCCAACCTTTAAGTAACGCTAATACGATACAACCTACAAACGCCGAAAGAGAATGAACGACGTGCAAACATTTTTCACTAATACCTTCTTCTAGTTTGTTAAGATCTCTATAATGAAATATCAAATTCTCGCAACTAAAATTTTATACAAAAAAAAAAAAAAAACAAAAAAGGTTTTTACGTGACATGAAACCATACTCGGACATTCTGCTGGCAAAATCTCCCGTGTTGTTTATATCGTACCATCCAATATCTTGACTTAATGCCGACCTGAAATATTTGGTACGAATTCTATAAATCTGCCTTTGAGTTGCATAACCAAAAAGTGATATCGATATAAATGTAATCGTTAACAATATGAGTCCAATTATTGAATTATTTATGACGAAACCATCAACCGAATCTAAAATGCATAAATCCTATGATATATTCTGTTACTTTAAAGCTAACCTTTTTAGAATGGTGAACTTTACCTAAAAATTCTTCTGTTCCAATTGTTCCCAAACTAAAATTGACTAAGGCATCCGTTAATTCTCCAAATATTAATGTGTTGCCTGGTGCACTCAATCCAGTGATGATGCTTCCAACCACTCCAAGTAACATAAGGCATATTTCAAAGGGATCAGCAAACCTAAACTGAAAAAAGCAGACAAAAAGGATTGATAAGTAACTGAACCTTACAATGAGTGCAAAATATCAGAAAAAACCATATTTAGGTTCTGTTTGTACCTATTTTCAATTGGAAAACACATGAAATGTCTTTCATTCCTTAAATATTAATAAAATTGATAAGGAAAAGGAAAATTTTCAATTTGTTGCCCTTGAATTTTCTATAATGCTTTGTTTTTTTGGTTGTTTTCATTTTCAAACTATTTTTTTTTTTTTTTAAATAATAACAATTACTTTTAATGTGTTAAATAAATTTATTATTTATTTAAAAAGATATCGTTCTATCAAATGTATCTTAAATTTTCAAGGTAATTATTATCAGATACAATAAGTTTTTTGTTGGCCCCATTTGTTTAATGAACAATGCATGTAATTTTTCTATCTTTCCATATATATATATATACATTTCCGTTTTTTTTACAGATTAAAAAAATTTTATCATCTCCTCATATTTCATATATAATTTTACAAAATCATCATTTTTTTTTTTTGTTAGACGTTAACCCGACATTTTTTTTAACTGAAATAATTTTGGTTTTCAGTGCAGAAATATGTGCAGATTTATATCCAAAACCATTTGCAAGACATATAAAATTTATTTTCCATATGGTTATTAATTATTTATTGATTTTGGACATTAAAAAAAAAAAAATAAACTTACCAATTTATGAAAACTAATTATGGGTGGATCAAAAGGTTTTTGCGGATTAATAATATCATTCTTTGTTTCTTTATCAAATTTTTCATCGCCATCTTGCATGAAACTTTCATTTACGTAAGATAATGTTGATATTCCATTTTCTTTTTTCTTCATTTTCCCCTTTTTCTTATAAAATATCTATCGAACACATAAAAAAAAAAGTAAATTTTAAAATTAGGTGAAAAAAAACGAAATTCCAAAAAGAACGAACGTTACGAGAAAAAACGAACTTTTCTAACGCCACGAACAAAAAGAATTATTTGAAATCGTTCGAAAATTTTTTTTTTTTCGTTATTAATTATATTATTATTATTTATGTAATCGTGTAATTGTAAATGAAAACCTTGCGAAAATAATCTTTTATTTTATTTTTTTGTAAGGAAAGATAAATTAACGAGGAAGACGACGAGATAAAAAAAAAAAAAAAATCTTTTATCGTGATATTTTCTGATAAAATTCAAATAATCGATACGTTATTATCTATCCGTACCATAGAAAATTCTAGACTCATCATATTAAGCATCAATGATAAAAACAAAAAACAAAATTTAATTTACCTTTTTTTTTAGTATAATAAAGTAATTTATAAATCAATATTTTTTCTTTAAATAAAATCGTATGAATAAGTCATTAAAAAAAAAAAAAAAAAATTTGCATTACTTATCGAAAATACAAAAAAAAAAAAAAAAAAAAACTTGTTTTAAAAAAATTCGGATTAAATTTTACAAAAAAAAAAAAATCAAATATCACTCAACAAGTATAATTTATCCTGTTTTTCCTCCCTTCCCGTAAAATTCATTAAATTTCTTTTTAATTTTAATAATGTTTTTTTGTAACCGACAAACTTTTAAAATAAATATGAAAAAGATAAGTAAAAAAAAAAATTTTTTTAATTGTTGTTTTTACAAAGAATTGTCCGCGCACACGATTTTGATTCATCAAATTCGTTATCTTCTTTTTGATCTAAAAAAAAATTTCATTGTTACATGAGTACCAACATAATTTTTTTTTTTTTTTTCCTTTTTCAATTCGAAAATTTTTTTTTTTTTTTTTTTTTTGCTCGACCAGTATATATTGTTTTTGTAAATAAATTCATTTTTAACCGGTAAGTATATATTGTATTAAATAAACATTATTATTTATTATTTTCGAAAAGAATTAATGATGAGATTTGATTTATTTTACAAACGATTAATTTCAAGCTTAGGTTTAAAAGTTTTTTTTTTTTTTATGAAGAATATTAAACCGCCGCCGTTGTTTATGTTTAACCGTTTTTTTTTTTACATGAGTTTTGTTACATTCAGTGAAAGAGTTTTTATTCTAGAAGTATATTCAGATAAGTTTTTTTTTAATCTAATATTTTAAAAGTTAAAACATGAAATGGTTTTTTTTACTTATTTATACGTTTATTTAAAAGAAATTCTTTAATTAATAATATTATTTAGGGGAAAGCGTTCATTGATCACCACCGCCTTCTAGCAATAACTCCACATATATACGTGTATCATTACTTATTCATCTCAAGTGCTTTTTTTTCTTTTTTTTTTTTTAATTATTTAATTTAGTTAATTTTTTGAATTTAACGAAAAAACTTTTTGTAAATATTAGTTAAAGAAATGATTTGTGCTTTGAAAAATGTATCAAATCTTATTTTTTTCACAGATTATTACTGATAGAAATGAAAAAAATCACAAGACTACTAATTTTGTGCTGACTCATTATGATTTATTACTTCATATAAATTTTTTTGTCTAAAGTTTGATTTGAAAATTTTCTGACTTTATTATGATATAAACATAAATGTACATTACCAGAATAACAATAATCATTTTCTTTTCCCCCAACCCTCCCCCGCGCCCAATCAATCGCATTTAATGTGAAATAATACATACTTCTAAATAGGCTTCTTTATGTTAAAATTTGAATTGTATTCTGGAACGTTAAATTTCCGTTACAAAATCTATAACGTAACCAATAAGAAAAAATTTTTTTTTTACCAAATATCCAAATGTTTTTGTAATTATGTAAAATGGAAACATTCGGAGCATGTGCAGAAAAATAATTAAATGTTTTGTTTTAATATTTTTTAACATTTTTTTTTTTTTTTTTAGAACAAAAAATGGAGTCTATACCGTTAATACCAAGATCTGATATAAAACCGAATTGTGATGTTTTACCATTAATAAGAGAATTATTTCAAGGTGAATTGGAAAATACACTAAGTCATAGCGCGACAAAGAAAAAATCACAAAATTTATTGAAAAAATTAAAACACGAAAAAAATCTTCATGAAAAATGTAAACCGTGTAAAAATAAAGAACCTCCACCTCATTATTTGTCATCTATAAAAAAAAATAATTTATTTAGTTTTTCTGAAAAAATTATCGACGTACGTATTTATTATTATTTTACCTTTTTCTTTATTTTAATAAATAAATTATTATTATTTTTTTTTTTTTTTTCGTACGTTTTTCACGACGAGGATTTATAACAAAAAAAAAAATTAATCGAAACAATATGGCGGAATTTATTTACTAATTTTTTTTATCTCATTATTAAATTATAAATCGATAGTCACGAAATACTACGACAAGTTAAACGACAATTTTTAGTGAAATTGAAAAATTACTGTAATTTTTTTCTTTTTTTTTATATATATTCTTGTTTTTAATCTTTTTATTATTATTATTATTATTAATTTATATTAAGATATAATATGTTAATTTGTGATATGATTAATATCATTATTATTATACTTATAATAAATTTTAGTATTTGTTGTTAATTAATTGGAAAACTAAAAGATATTAAAACAAACAAACAAACAAACAATGTTGTTATCAGAATAAATTTATATCGATAATATAATTAATAATAATAATAATAATAATAATAATAATAATAATATGATATTTTACGATATGAATCGTTTTTTTTTTAATAATACTTATAAATAATAATAATAATGATGATATAATTTAATAATTTGGTTTTACTTTATCGATTGTATTTTCCACTAATGTTTGTTGATCATTTTTTTTTTTTTTTAGGCTTACACCGAACACGAAAATGAATTGGAAGACATTGAAAATGCCGAGAAAAATATATTACAAATCAATTGTCAATATCTCAAACGAAAAGCTAAATTATTAGAATGTAAAGAATATAAAGATTTGTATATATTGAAAAGGCAACCGCAATTTAAAGCGTTGGATGTGACATACGTGAAAAAATTTAAACTCCTACAAGGGGAAGCTGGTTTGCCATTAAGATATTTGGCACATACAGGTATGATCAAACAAAATATACATTAAATATTGTTATCGTTTTGCAAAAAACGGTACAAAAAAATAATTAAACAAATAATTGAATTTTTTTTCTTTTTTTTTTTTTTTTAAAAAAATAGATTTTCGCGTGAAAAATTTTAAAAATTGGAGAAAAAGATTAGAAAGTTTTAGTCAAGATAGTTTATTAAATAATTTTATAAAAAGAGTACCGAATCAATTACCCGCATTAGAACCGGAAAAATGTTTACCTAAAAATTTTAATAAAAAACCATTTAAACAAAGAAAACCGAGGCCGAAGAAAACAATACAAGAAATCGAAGACATGAATATATTTATAGCCGAGCCGAAAATTGTTTTTTTCACAAATTACGTTCCCGGAGAAATATATTGTGTAAATTTTTTATTAATTAATGACATTTGAACGTGGTTGGTGCCACGTTATCATTACTGTTTTTTTTTTTTCGTTAGACAGAAGTTGAAGTGAAAAATATTTATCAAAAAGGATTGAAATTTCAATTGAAACCCATGAATTTGAACGGACCGTTTAAAGTTCGTTTTAAAAGTCAATTGAATGTTTCAAAACTATCACCCGGATTAAGTTTTAAATTGGAAGTTGAATTTTATCCGCAATCGTTAGAAATCGTGGCCGATGATATATCGATTGCCATTGAAAATGGTAAAAATCTATTGATACCGTTAATGGCTTATTTGGAACCGCCCGTATTGAAAAGTAAGTCGAAAAATTTCACGGGAAAGAAATGAAACAATTTTGGTGGTTCAATCACAATGTTCGATACCCCAATGAAAATGTCATTGATATGCCCGAGAGAGAAAAAATAGAAAATTTTTTTTTAATAAATCAGCACACGGAGACATAAATGAATATACTAAAAGCGTAACTGAAAAAATAGCAAGCAGTTTTATCGAATGCGGTGCGTGTTTCACTGGTGACACGAAAGTAATTAAAATTAAATTTCAATGTTATCATGGTTTCGGTGAATTTTTCATCATGAGCTCGGAAAATTGGAATAGAAATAACGTTAACGTAAGCCACCTAAATCTTTCCCCCCAATATTTCTAATTATTAAATAATTATTATTATTATTTTTTTTTTTTTTAGAGCATGACGACGGAAAATCTTTTAGAAATTCCACCGTTTCGAGTTTATCCGGCATATTTTAAACTTAAAAAAAACGAAGTTATTGAATTATTAATAGAATTTTCACCCAAAACTTCTGGAACGCACGTTGAAAATATTATGATTGCATGTGATAATGGAGAAGTTAGATCTTTGGATCTTTTGGGTGATGCCATGGGATGGCATAGTTATTTTTTTACATTTCAGGTCATAAATTCATTCATTCATTCATTCATTCATTCATTCATTAAAAAAAAAAATCAATTCAAATTATTTACTTATCGTCATATGAAAAATATTAAAAATTTATGTAACGAATTAATTATTTTATATCTAATTAAATTTCATAACAACGTAATAAAACTTTTCATTTCTATAAATAAATAAAAAAAAATAAAATTTAAATAAATAAACAATTTAAAAAAAATTTATAATAATGCAATTTGACTTTTTTTTTTTTTTTTTTTTTTTTATTCGAAAATCATTTGAATTGATTATTTCTTATTATTTATAGGACGACATTTTAAAAGAGCTACCGATGGACTGCGATGATGATATTAAAGTGAAATATTTACTGGATTTTAATGATACAAGTCCGTTTGGAAAATTACAAAAATCTTTTCATATATTAAATAATAGCAATATGTGTTTCGAATTCCAATGGAAGATAAGAGAAGCAAATATTCTCAACGGTCATGATAAATATTTAAAATTGATTAAGGATCAAATTAAAATCGAACCGGAAAATGGTACGATTGAATCTCATTCTATAAAAGAATTTAACGTAACCGTGACATTTGACAATGCTGAAATCGGAGCCTACAGGATGGTACTTAGGTATAATTTTCCCCAACCTACTTTTTATGTCAAAAAAAATAAACTCGTCGTCTCTAATAAGTCAAAGGGATTTGATTTAATTTTTAGTTTGTACGTCCTTAATTTACCTTATCAGTGCATAGAAGAAGATGATACAATAATACAACCTACGGGATTGGTACGAAATTTATATTCACAAAGTCTTTACGGTGAAGAAGAATTTACAAATTCGTCTCCAGAATTGCTGTCGTTGCAAGGAACTTACGAAAGTTTACAGGAGAGCATAAAATCATATGTTGAATGTCAAAATAAAAATCAAGTATTATCGAAAACTGATTTTTGTAAAACTACTTGCCTACCAAATCCTGGATTGTGTGCGAAACCATTAAAAAAATCAAAAACTTTTTTTAACATAGGAGGTAAACCTTTCACCGAAAGGTTTCCCCTTCCCCTCTCCCCTTCCCTCCCCATAACTTAAAAATTATCGTTATCATTTTTGTTTTAGAAAGTATCGATGAAGAAAGTTTAAATTGTTTTTGTCGTGGTAAACCAATAACCGAACCCGAATCAAATTCAGAATCTTGCTTGTCGACGAGAAACGAAAGATTAGGCGAATTAATTATACCGAAAAATGATGTCGCCTGGGATTTCGTGGACATATTAGTGGACGAAATTGAAATATGGGCAGAAGTAACTCCAATAAGAGTATTGATAATGCCATGCGTTTTAGAATTTTCAATTAGCCCCGAGTATATTACATTCCATTTGATTTTTTAAAACGAATAATTTTTTTTTTTAACGTTTTATTAAAAAATATTATTTTAATTAATTTTATTCAGAGCAAATAATCAACCGTTTTTCAAAGACGTTGTCGTAGTTAACTGTAGCAGAACACCGGTAACGTGTAAATGGGAAAATTCTTCTGACACGACAGATGTAATGAATAGCGAATCGAAATTCAAAAAACTAAGTAGCGAATTTATAACAAACGAATCAACCAACGGTAATTTTCAAGATAATAACGACGAATGTAGTCATTCGAATATCGATGAGAATGAAGCAGGTACCACTACTACTAGTACTCGAAAGAAACCATCGATGGAAAAATTTAAACTTTGTTATAAAAAAAATATCAACGAAGGCGAGGGAATTTTTGAAATATTAAAACCGTCGGAATCGTTTATCGTACCCGAATTATCGGAATTCGTAACGAAAATCGGCGTCAGGGGAATAAAACCGGGAAAATTTAAAGAAAATTTACGATTAGAAATAAATAACGGAATTTTTCATTTGAATTTAACCGTACAGGGAACCGTAACGACAAAATATTTAAAAGCTACACCAAACATATTAAGTAATTTTTCCTTGTTTTTGTCGCTGTTGTTTCGCTTTTTTTTTTAAAAAAATAAACGGAAATTTTTTTTTTTTTTTTTTTTTTGTCAATTTTTAAATAATTACTATTATTACGATTCCAGATTATAAAGTAATCAAATCGGGAACGTTATCGAAAAAAAATTACACGATACAAAATAATTATTTTGATAAATTATGGTTGAAAACTTACCAATACGATTTCGATTTCGATACGGATAATTTTAAAGAAGTTGAACGTCGTTGTTTCTCACAAGATGAAATATTTTCGTTGAATGAAAATGAATCCGTCGTCAAAACTCACACATTAGCAGCTAAGGTGACAAAAAAAACAAAAAAAACATTTTTTTAAATAAATAAATTTTTGTAATAAATTAATAAATTTCAATTTTTTTTTTTAGGTACCCGGTATAAAATGTTCAATATTAGAAATAAAAGGAAAAAACGTGTCGAAAGAAAACGTACCGAGCGAATATGTTTTCATATTGGGAAACGTTAAACTTCCTCTATTGACACTTTCGACTCCGAGATTTCGAAATGCAATTCTCGCTCCTTCCGGTACGATGTACGTCGGTCACATAGTAAAAACCCACGTGTCCCTAATAAACACAGATAATTTGGCAACCGTTTACACGTGGGGTACACCATTCGGATGTCATTCTAGAAAGATAAAAATCGAATTAACACCTAAATCTGGAATCATATCAAAATATAAAAAATTAAAAATCGACATTACGATAATTCCTCTCGACGAGGTAAAAAAAAAAAAAAAAAAATCAAGTTTTTTTCCCATTCGAATCATCGATAATCCCAACTAAAATCTCGTCATTTTTTTTGTTTTTTTTTCCAGGGTATTATCAGTCATTGCTACGTACCTTGTTTTTTTTGTCGAAGTTCAGAACCTCTTATTCTTGCCGTTGTTGGAATAACGGAAAAATTAAACGTGACATTTGAAATAGTAGATTTTCCCGACGATTCTCCATCATCCATTGTTAACACGAATGATAAAATTCCAATACCTTTCTTGTATAAAACTATAACGAGAGTCCGTTGGCCCGTTAAAAATTATGATCCAAATTTGAAAAAAAGATATATTTTTCAAGAAGATGTTCTCACGTTTAAATGTCATTGCTACGAAGTTGAAAAAGAAGCACAAAGAGCTTTCGATTCCAAACAAGAAGAAGGAATCGTTAGGGAGTCGTCAGGTCAGTAAATGAAACAAAAAAAATCAAGGTTATCATTAAAATTAATACAAAAAAAAAAAATAAATAAATAAATTTGATTTATTTCAACTTACTTGTAAATTTTTACGACTTTTCTTCATCAACTAAATCAAAATCAAACAAACAAACAAACAAACAAACGTTTTTAGAAAAACAAAAAAAAATTGATGAAATCAACGTTGAAAATTTGAAAAATTCACCGACCAATAGCAATAATAATAATAATAATAATAATAATAATAATGAATATTGCGGACTCGATGAAAAAAAAGAAGAGAAATTATTGGTCGGAGAAGAAAATTTTTATAATGAAAAAAAATCCGATTTAAATTCTTTACAAAAATATCCATCGCAAAAATCTTCCATTGAAAATTTAAATCTTTTCAAAGCGGAAATTAATTTTTCAAACGTCGAATACGGTACCAGTAAGTAATATAAGAAAAAAACTTTTTTTGTATCTTAATTATTATTATTATTATTATTTATGTTTTTTTTTTTTTTTCCAGGTGCAAAAAGACAATTTGTCATTAGAAACGAAACACCGGTACCGACGACGTTTTCAATTCAAGTTAAAAATTTCGGTTGTCGCGAAGAAAATATTGGAAAATTTGAAAATAAAATAATAAAAATCCGTAACGCCATTTTTAATTATTCCAAAGGTTCGTACTATTACGTCATCATTAATCGGAAAAACGATAATGATTAGTTAGTTAAAAAAACGTTCAATTAACTTTTCCCTTTTAGAAAATGAAAAAAGAAAAGAACCAGTTCTTATAACTGTTGAACCGGAAATGGGTGAATTATCGGGACACGAAGCCGTTTGTATCGATGTTGTGGCAACAGGAATCACCTGGGGAAAATACACGTAAATTTTCCAGTTAAAATTTTTTAAAAATATAACGGAAACAAAACGATCAACTTTTTATTTTTCTTTCCCTTCGACAGAGATTGCATAACTTGTCAAATAAAAGGACTTCCGGTTTTTTTTTTAAAAGTCACACTTCAAATCGTTGGCCTTCCATTTTATTTACCTTTTTTTTCTAATTACAAAACTGAAAAACCAACACTCAGGTAAGATTTGTGACGACAGATTTTATTTAAATCATCATCACGTGGTATCATAGAAATGAATAGAAGTTGTCAGTCACTCAGTCAGTAGCCGTTTGTTGTTTGTTGTTGTTGTTATTAAAAAAAAAAAAAAAATTTTTTTTACTTTATTCAGATTCGAACCCACCACCAACATATTCGAACCTTTATCAAAAGATCTTCGAGTTGTTAATCGATGTACGATACCCATAACGATATCATGGATAATCGTATTCACACAATCCTCTGATAAAGAAGAAGAAACGGATGATAATTTAAATTTATACACAGATTCAAATTTAGATTCCAATCATTCTGAAGAAAGTAACAAATCCGTTAAAGTTTATTTGCCAAAAAATGCATCCGGAAATGGTCCGACGTTTTTTAACATACCGGAAACGAAGGGTACTCTCTCATTTAAAAACCACGATTATAATAATAACAAAAAAAAAAAATTTCTTATTTAACAAAGTTTTTATGTCTGATAGAGTTTACCGCGAGTCACAAAACGGAAACGATGGAATCATTTGCAAAAAGAGAATCATATTCTGGTAAAATCGAATGTACGGAATCATTTAACGTTGGTAAAAATCGACTCGAAAGTTTGATATCATCATCATCGAGTGGTGAAGAAACAACAAAATCAGATCAAGGACAAAGAATCGTTTTCCGAATCGATTTACATAATTTTCAAGTATTTGATAAAATTTTAAATTTAATTCGGGAAAATTCGTACCGACAAAATAATAAAAATAAATTTTTTTTTTTTTTTTTTTTTTTTAGGTTACACCGAAAGAAATATCAATCGAACCGTTTGACGAAAAAACAATAACGGTAACCTTTGATCCGAGATTATATAAATCGAATAATTCAAAACAAGAATTCGGAGCCATTTTAAAATGTTACATTAAATTAAATCCTTCGGATGAAAATTCAAATGGATTTTATCACAGGCCCTGCGGAATGGATTATTTAATTAACGTATTAGATTTTCACGCAATCGTTGAAAATCCTCTCGTTTCTTTTAACATATTAAAAGGAGATTTGAAATTTTTCGTAAGTAAAGAAAAAGCTTTTACAAAAAAAAAACGCATTCGAATAAACGGATTTACTATTAAAATAATAATTCCTTTCCCCCCTCCCCACTCCCTCCCCACAACCCACTGTTTTATCAACCGAAACAATACACATAACATAACAAAGTTTTTTGTTCAGTCTGATGATGAACAAGTCAGTCGTTTTGAAAAGAAAAGGCGTGTTCCTTTCAAACGAATTAATAAATCACCGACATATTCTCTCTCTCTCTGTCTTCCTCTCACTCTTTTCCTCTCTCTCTTCCTCTCTTTCTCTCTATCTATCTATCTATCTATCTACCTATCTATCTCTCACTCTCTTCCTTTTTCTGTCTTCCTCTCTCTGTCTTCCTCTCACTCTTTCTCTCTCTCTTCCTCTCACTCTCTCTCTCTATCTATCTATCTATCTATCTACCTATCTATCTCTCACTCTCTTCCTCTTCCTATCACTCTCTCTCTTTCTCTCTATCGTGTAAACCAAAAAATTACAAGAAAATAATAATAATATTTTATTATCAGGTCGATGCAAACGAAATAATTAATTCACGTGATAAAAAATTAATATTGTCTCGAAGGTATTTAATAAAAAACAATAATGAAAAATCAATAACGTTAAAGGTAGACATATCACCAGGTTCTGTTTTTCGTGTCAAAAGAATTGAAACCGTCGATAAAATATATAAAAAATACTACGTGGATGCAAATGAATTCGTCGTGGAAAGTGGAGAGTTTTTTAAGGTATTAGAAAATGTCACAAACCTGGTAATTCACTACAACCTACATTACGGAGATGTATAATAAAAATACTAAAAAAAAATTTAAATTTCAGATGGATTTAGAATGTTTGGTCACGTATAAATCCGTCGTTTACGCATACGAAAAATTAAATAAAACGAGAAGAGATGATTTGGCCAAAACAACAGCATTCGAAGATGCAACTAAAAAAGTCATGTCGAAAAGTGAGAAAACAATGGAAGGACAAGAAGTTAAAAAAATTAGACAGTCGGATCGCGAACCCTGGAATAAATATTTTAAAAACGATTTACCCAATTTCCCAACGAAAAAAACGAGAAAATTCATTTTGGAACCGAGAGATAGTTACAGGATAAATCTTCATAGAATGTCATCGAAATCCGACAACAGCGTTTGTCACAATGATTATTATTATTATGAAAACGAGGGAGAATATGTCGATGTTTCCATACCGGAAGAAACACAAATTAAATCCAAATCATTCAATCATTTAAACATAATAGAAGAAAAAATTAATTTCGTACAAACGGGATTTCTCACCCAAGTACGTATTATTTATAATATTCGAAAAATTTCTCCGCCATTTTATTATTCGTGCAGGGAATTTTTTTCCCTCATTTTTTTTTTTCACTTTTACAGACGATAACGGCAGAACTTCATTTGTCGTTTCCTGCTCTTAAGTTATCACCTAAAAATTTAGATTTTGGAAATGTTTACATCGGAGAAACTAAAATAAAACATTGTTCGTTGATTAACATAACAGGTAAGTTAATTTATTTATTACTAATAATAATAATAATGATAATAATAATACTAATTTAAATTAGTTTTATTCGGGTTCGACGAAAATCGTAATATTCGAATTTTATTGGAAATTTTTTTCCCGTTTTCCGGTTTAAACAATTAAATTTGCATAAACATTTAAATAATAATTATTATTATTATTATTTTTACGAAATGGAATAACAAAATTCCAGCTGGAGTTTTTTTTTTTTTATTAGGCCGAATAAATCACGGTCGTAAAAAAAAAAAAAAAAAAAAAAAAAAATTAACAACATTACGGAGCAGCTTCTTCTCTCGTGTTTTTTTAACACAAAGTTTTTTTTTTTTTCGTTACTAATTTTCGAACGAAACCTGTTTTCTTCCCCCCACCCGTCTCGACCCTCCCCCTCCCCACTACCTCTTCCTCCTCTTTAAGTAAATACGATAAATTTTAACTTGGTTTTTACGAGGGTAATAAATTTTTTTTTTTATTTTAATGAAATAATAATAATAGTAATAATAATAATAATAATAATAATAATAATATTCGAACTCGTATTCGAAAAAACGTGGAATTAGAAAAATGAAAAAAAAAAAAATAATAATAATAAGCAATTTTAGCTTCGAACAGTACGTTCGACGTAGCGTTAATATTATTATTATTATAATTATTAATATTATTATTAGTATTATTATTATTATTATTATTATTATTATTATTTTCATTTCGTTATTGTTTTGTTTTTTCGAGTATTTATTTTGCTTATTCAGATCGATAAAATCACGATTTTTCTTCTTCCCCCTCCCCCTACTCCTCCTTCCCCTCCCCCTCATATTTTTCAAGTGCATGACACGAGAGTTTGAATGAGTTTGTGAAATGCAGGAAATGACACGGCACATTTACAACAAACAAAAAAGAAACGGTTGAAAAATAATGATGATGATGATGATGATGATAAAAGGAAAAAATTCGACTTACCTCAGTATATTTAATTTTGTTCGTATTTCATTCAGGTACGCCGACCCATTACAAAATGAAATCAAAATGCAACGTAAACGAATTTATTGCAAATCCTTTGACGGGTTTCCTTCCGTCAACGAACCATAATTCAGACATTGGCAAAACATTGACCATCCAATTCAAACCTTCTCAACCTGGATATTTTACTCAAACATATCAAATTTATTGTAATTCCGCCATGGAATTCGATTGTTACGAACTACCCGTATCCGGTTTGGGTACTTGGAATGAAAAATATAAAAGCATTAACAAAATGGATAACGCCGTCAAACTCGATGAAGTTTTCTTAACCGATTAAGTTACTTTTACTATTATTATTTATTTTTTTAATTGACGTGGAAGTAGAAAAACAAAAAAATGCCGCGACGTTTTCCCGCGTAAATATTTTTTAAAAAAAAATCAAAATCAAAAACGGTAAAAATTTATTATTATTATTATTTTTTTTTATTATCATTCATAGTAATTATAATAATAATGATAATAATGAGACACACATCGTTTATACACAAAGACATAAAACGTCTTAATAATAATAATAATAATACATAAAAAAATTTCCCGACATTTTTTTTTAAAAAGGCACGTTTTATTTAACTTTACACGAAGGGGAGGGGGGCGCGGGCACAAGTCGAATTTTCCCGCCGTCGATTTTCACGCCCTGCAGTTATCAATTTAATAATAATGATAATAAAAAAAGCGCGACTTGATTATTATGACAAATAACCCCGCGTTTGACCTTTTTGTCTATTAAAAAAAAAAAAAAAAATTTTTTTAATTTAACCTTTTGACCTTTCGAACGCGTAACAAAACAAAACGTTAAAGGTATAAAACAAGACAAACCTTTTTCACGTTCGTTTGTACCGAACGTGGAACAAGACGTTCGCGTCAACACAAAATCACTTTTCCTCGCGCGTGCGCGCGCGTCATCTGTCGACAGACTTTTTCATGCCGGGAAAGAAAAACGGAAAAATCAATATACGAGGTTCGATACGATAAATCGATCCATCGATATATTATCGAACGTATACACGCGATTATTCGCAGACACCGTGAAACAGAAAAAAAAAAAAACAAAAATAATAATAATAGTAATAATAATAATTTTTTTAAAGCATCCTTTTGCATTGCCTGCAATGCCTACAACACACATAATACACGCCGTCGTTTCGCATACCGTGTCAATAGAAACGAAAAAACTTATTATTTTATAATTTGAATTATATTAAATATTTTTCGTACACTTTGACCGAATCTTGACCGTTCGCGGGGTACGTCGAAGGTTGTCGGAAACCTTTCGGACTCTTGTATATGTTGCAACTGTTCAAATTCAATTCGGGTTTGTCCAAATTTAACGTTATCACTGGAAGGTTTATACGTTCTTGGGAATCGACTCTCACGTCGAGCGTGGAATTAGAATTGTTTTCCTTGTTATCGAACAAGGTGTTGTTGTTTTTATTGTTCGATTCGTCCGTGTGATAAAAACTCGACGTTGCACCGTTACCGGAACTTCCGCCGACGGCATTTCCACTTCCGCCGCCGCCACCTCCACCTCCGTCCGTTTCCTGTTTCATCCACGGTTTTTCTAAATTTATTCTAGCGTTTTCTACATTTTTTTCAATTTTATTCGTCGATTCGTCTCCGTCTTTTAAAACGTTCACGTTTTGACCGAAGTGTATTCGCGCCGTCGTGAAACTTCGAAAATTTTCAGACGTTCGATCACCCCCGCCACCCCCACCACCGTAACGGGTCTCGTAGAGCAAAGGCATTTTCTTCGAGGCTTCTTCCGAATTGAGTTCGCTCATTTTATAACCCATACCGTGTGTATCCACGTAATTGGCATTACTCTTACCCTTACCGCAATATTTATCAACGGTCACGTGATCCGATCTTAGTACCTTGAATGCGAGTGCGACGAGTAGGAAAAGTATGACGGCTCCGCATATGGGTACGGCAATCGTGGCAGCTTTGAACCAAATTTCGTTTGTCTGATTGTGTCTCGCGCTATTTCCGGTCACTTCGAAACTTCCTCCCAAATTATTTTGATTTTCCGTCGAGTTGATGAGAGAACCTGAAAATACGAAAAAAAAAAAAAATTTATCTCGTTTGTTTGTTTGTTTGCGTGTTTGTTTACATCGAATTAATAAATATTTAATAATTTGACCTCAGGTCGTACGGTCGAAATCTCTCTCTCTCTCTCTCTCTCTAATGGCGTCGTTAATGGACCGACGCATGACAAACATTAACACAACTTAAATATGAACGCTGCCTCGTATTTAAAAAGATTTTTTTTGTACGAAAATAACCCGAAAAAAAAAAAAAAAAAAAAATTCGAGATCGATAAATTTTATTTAGTTAATGAGAACAACTTTTAACTCGTGCTCAGGTACAAACGCTAATTAGGGATCCCGAAACAGACAAACAAACAAACAAACGATGATGTAGGTATGAAATCATCATCATCATCATCATCATTATTTATCTTATTTTATATGACGACGTAAGAAGCAGATGAAAAAAAATTTACAAAATCATTTGACGACAAACGAAACAACAATTCGACAAACATTTTTTTTTTTTTTTTTTTTTTTTTTACTAAAACTTAAAGAAGAAAGATTGATTGACAATTCAAAAATCGTATCGACAATCGATTAATCGATTAATCGAAATATCGATCGAGCGTCGATGTAACCCAACCGGATAAAAATTGTGGATGAAAACACAAAACGTCGAGGACGGGAACCCTCCGGATTAGTTTTTAGGATTATCAATAGCAAAATCTCAATCGTTTGTTAGTCGACGATGATAATGATGATGATGATAATGATAATAATTCCTTTTCATTTTCAATCATTCATTGAATGCTTACCCGGCATAATTAAAAGTTATTTGATACTCGTGAGTGTGAAAACGTTCATAGACTCTTCACTGAATGTGTCTGTGTGTTTGTGTTTGTGTGTGTGTATGCGTGTGCAAAAATTATTGATTAGTTAGAGAAAAAAAATATAATTAAATAAAATAAAATTTTTTTTTCGACGCGCACGCGCACACGCACACGCACGCACGCACACACACGCAAATCGACATTGAAAATTTGTCTGAATTCATACAAAAAGAAAAAATTGCAGGAGACATTTTGTAAAAACCATTGACGTGTGCGTGCGTGTGTCTGCTCCGCCATATTTGAAATAAAAAATTAAATTTAATAATTATATTCGCAGTCGTTCAATACACGTGATGTTAATAATAATAATAATAATTTTTCCTTCTTCAGTAGAAGAGAGAGAGAGAGAGAGAGAGAAAGGTTTAACCGTAAATTTTAAAAAAGGAAAGACTAAAATCAAAAATTCCTGAATGAATTCTTTCATTCATTTTCGAAACCATCACAGATAATAATAATAATAATGATTATAAAAAGGCAATGTCACGGTTTGAAAACGTACGTATTTGGTAGAATCGGATCCATTTTGTCATCCTCCCTTTCCTCCTTCACCCATCATCCCAACCTCTCTCCCCCCCCCCCGAAAAAAAAAAATTAAATCCCAGAAACGATTCACGTGAACGAAATTATTTCACTCATCCGACAAACGTATTTTTTCTTCCCCCTTCTCGATAAGTTTAACAAAAAACGTGGCAGAAGTGGAAGATTTCAAAAAAAAGACAAATTTGGCGCCATTTTTATTTAAAAAAAAAAAAATTTAGAAATTTCGCATTCGTGAAGGGAGTAAAAACGACGACGACGATGACGTCGTCGTCGTCGGCGGCGGCGGCGACGACAATAATTTTCTTTTTTTAAGTAATTATACTTTCCCACGGAAGTGAAGCAAAATAGAAAAATAATAATAATAGTAATAATAATAATAATCGAAGTAAATTAGTTTAATTTACGAAGAAATCTTTGCTTTAAAAAAAAAAAAAAATTCAGACTAATTTTGCTATAAAGTTGCCAATTAGGACAAAAATATTTCGTTTTTAAAACGGCAATAAAAAAAAAAAAGGGTCAGAAAAAAAAAATAATTTCCCGTACCTAAAAATTCGTTTTTTAGGTACTCGAAAAAAACTCATAAGTATCAGTTTGTTGTAATTTATTTACTTTTTTTTTTTTTTTTTTTTTCGTCTGTCAGTTAAACTAAATCCAGTCGGTAGATTTTTTTTCAAGCTTTTAAATTACTTATTTTATTTTCTCTCTCTCTCTCTCTCTCGCACACACTCTCTTTCTCTTTCCCCTATTCCTTTGTGTTCGGTAATATACAATTTCCTTATTAGTAATAATAATAATAATAATAATAATAATAATAATAATTTTCCGTTCAGGTACGCGCACAATGTCAACCGCATTCTCTCTGTCTCAACACATTTACGGTTTTCGCGACTTTCTACTGCTAACCGTTAACAAATAATAATAATAATAATAATAACAATAATAATCATAATCATAATAATAATAATGATGATGATAATAAACGGGAAATTTAAAAAATTATAAAAAAAACGAATTTTTTTATGTAGAAGCAACCGTTTTTATATCGATCGCAACATAAACACAAATAAAAACAATAACAACAACAAACAAACAAACAAACAAACAAACAAACAGGATTCCGACACACAGGGGAAAACACATAAGAGGAAAATATTAACAAAATGATAAGAGATAAGAAGAAAAAAACAAGGGAAAATAACTAAAGCTGGATAAAAAGAAAAAATATTTTCTCCAGTCAAACGCACTCGCTCTCTCTCTCCCTTTCTCCCTCTCTCTCTAACACAAAGAATTTGTTTTTTTAAACTAAAAAATTAAAATTAAAAAAATTTTCAATTAAAATTAAAATTAAAAAAAAAAAAAAAAAAATGGCATCCGGTGGCTAATGAAACATTTCGGTTTCTAATTACTAAGAAGAAGAAAAGAGAAAGAAAGAAAGACAAAAATATAAGGATTTGATTACGGGAGTGGAACAAAGACGGTTGATTCATCATTACGAAAACTAATAAAATTCAGGTATGCGTGATTATATAGTTAAATATTATTATTATTATTATTATTTTTTTTTTTTTTCTAAAAGGCAAGTCATTATTCATAAACAAACAAACAAACAAACGAAGGAACAAACAACAAACATTTATTTACTCTCCTGCTGGTCTCCTTTTTTTTTATTTATTTATTTATTGTCTTTTTTTTTTATGGATGAATTCGTAAAAAAACTCGCCGTCGTCTTCTTTCGTATCTCCCTCCCTACCTCCCTCCCCCTTCATCCCCCCATATTAATATTTAAAAAAATATACGTCTTGTCTTTTCTTTTTACGGGGGGTCGATGCCATCATACTCTGTTGTCTAATGATAAACGCATCGAACGTTATCATTCCACTCTTTTTTCCTCCTCCCCGTTCAACAATCCTATCATTTTAGGTATTTTTCTAAGGGAATGCCGCGTGTGCGTGTGCGTGAGAGAGAGAGAGAGAGGGGGGAGGAGGAAATAGAAAACTTAAAAATTTAATTACACCTTTTAAAAGTTTTGCAATTCCCTTACTAACGCCGACCGACACCGACACCGCCGACATGTGGTTGTTTTTCTAAAACCACTCCCTTCGCAAAAAAAACCCATCGGGGAAATAGAAATAAATAAAAAAAAAAAAGGTTCGTGGGATCAACTGTTCAACACAGACCGGACGGATACCAACGGAAAAAAATTTATTGATAACGGTCTCTTATCTAGACTTACATACACGAGCGGCGCTTTCATTTTCCCGACGTCTCCTCCTTTAAAAAACCAAACGTGAAAACATATCCGGGGGCGGAGTGGGGGGGAAATTCGTAATGGTTTTTTTTTAGTCTAAAGAAAGAGAGAGAGAGGGAGGGAGGGGGAAAGAAGACATAACTTACGGACGAAAACCGGGATAATTTGTTTGAAATTGACGTAACCACAGGTCGAAGTCACCGATAAATTTAACGAAAAAAAAATTTGCCGTAAGCTAACGCAAGTTGAAAATAAAACTCTTAAAATAACAACAACAACCAAAACAACAACAACAACAACAACAACAATAATAATAATAATAATAATAATAATAATAATAATAATAATAATAATTTACATAAAAATCAAGTTTTTTTTTTTTTCTCGAAAAGTGGTGGCAGACGGATCATATTTAAATATGAATATATTTTTTTCAAATTCGAATTTTGTCCATTTCCGCTTTCTCTCTCTCTCTCTCTCTCTCTCTTTTTCTCTCTCTTTCTCTTTTTCTCTCTTTACTGTCTTTCTTATCGCGTTCGTCGTTATCATTAAACAAAACTAATTAAAAAAAAAAAATTTTAATAATAATAATAATAATTAAAACTCACACGAATCGATGACCCGTAAATTTCGGGTTCACGAATTTACCCCTCCTCCCTTCCCCCCCATTCCCCCCGATATTAATAATAATAATAATTGTAATAAAATCGTTCGAAACGTCGTCACGTAATAATTTTACGACGACGTTCATTATTTGATAATGACGACGACGAAACGAACGACGCCGCCGTCGTCGTCGTCGCCACCGCCACAACCGCCACCACCGCCATTCGTCAACAAAATTAACGAGCTTGAAGAGAGAGAGAGAGAGAGAAAAAAAAAAAGGAAAAATAATTTTTTTAAACAAAATGTCAAAAAATTTCAACATTAAACAATTTCTTACATTTCCATCTTTACTACTACCACCACCACCACCACTACTACTACCACGACTAAAATTTTTGTTAAAACCATTTCTAATTAGCGTCTTTTTTTTTTTTTTAAATTTTAATCATTCTCGGCGAAATTAATTTTTTTTCTCTCTCTCAAAGGTAAACCATTAAAAAAAAAAAAAAAAATTACGAACCCATTAAAATGCCCGAAGATGGCAGGTTATTCGAATGAGTCATCACTCACCGCCACTGCCACCACCACCACCACCACGCAATAAAAAAAAAATGTGTTTGCGTGCGCGTGCACGGGTATGCACACGAGAAAGTTGGCAGGATTGTAAAAATAGTAAAATAAAATAAAATAAAACCCACCGGTCCTCTCGTCTTTCTATCAATTTTTTCAAATACCTGAGAGAAGAAGAGAAAGAGAGAGAGAGAGAGAGAGAGAGAGACAGACTCAACAAAATTATTTTTTAAGTTTCGTTCGTAAACCTGACAAGGTTCAAAATAACCGTCATCGCGTATTATCATCCCACTTTGCCCCCCTTCTCCTTTCTCCTCCCCACCGTTACCACCCGT